TTAATCAAGCTTAAGATTTTCTGTCTACTCATTTTGGGTATTTGTGTATGAGTGTCAACGTACAGAAAAACACACACACACACTGTCATAAGAAGTGGGTGGATTTACCTTCATGGAGTGAGAGAGGAAAGAAAAAAGTAAAAGATAAACATCATGTCTATTTACATATCCAATGAATTGAATGAACGTATTCAGTTGATAATATACCTTGAGGTAATATGGAAACAAGTGAAAAAAAGTATATAAGCTTCAGGTAAAGTTATTGAATATTGATGAGGTGGAGGAGGTTGAAAGCAGTGGGGATAATTTTGATTCATGTATCTGATTCACATGAATATCTGAATGAACAGAGCCGATAACCTTATTATTATTATACTAATAATGTAGACTCATGTTCATTTTGGATTGTATCTTGTAAGAGATATCAAGAGAATCTATTGTTTTCCTGTGAAATGGGAATGAAAATTTCCAATTCCCTGTCAACTGAACTTTTGGATAAAATGAATTTTCAAAGTTACTAATTACTCATTTGTAATATCTACTATACTGTTCCAATATTAATTAGTTTATTTCTGTTTCTGAATGCTTGGTAATAATAATAAATTGAATGAAATGTTTACCAGGGGAAAAAATTGATTCCACTATTTTTAGCATTCATCATGATCAATATTCATGATACAATGAATATTTGCTCATGCAAATGATACTCAAATTGGTTACATTGTTTTTCTCTCTTTATGTTCTGTCTGTATACTAATTAATCAAAATGTTTCATCTCATTAAGATTATTGATCAGCTGATTCGAAAGTAAAAGTTTTTTCATCTTATGATTTGAAAAATGATTCAATATGATTATCAGGTAATTGAAGAGCGTGAATGTTGGTGGGTCGAAGAAAGTTCAAATTCTTGGCTTGATACTTCGAACATATTAGAACTTTTTTCTCTAATAGTTTGAGCTGAAAAGATTTTTCTTTTTCGTTTTTTTCTCTCTACAAATTTTGGAATACAAAAGTAAAGAGTCGAATTTGTTTTCGTTCTAATGTTTTGAGTCACGAAAAGATGATGATGATGATGATGATGATGAGTAAAAGAAGAGCAAAGAGTGATGAGAGAAAATGGTAACAAATAGGAAAAGGTGAATGGAGAGTAAGTTGTATTAGAGTAACAATGAGAAAAAAAGAGATTCATTAATCAAGGGAGAAGAAAAAAAAAGAAAATGAACATTTTTTCATCTCCTTCGAATATATGAGAGAGAAGATGAAGATGAGGATGAAAAAATGCCTTGATGGAAAGTGTCATTAGAGAAAAAGTATCAGAAAAAAAAGAGATTGAAACATTTTCCTTTGTAACTAAATTCCATGTGAAAGGCAACATGAAATGAATGAAATTGAGAAGAAGCAAAGAAAAGTTCCAAGTATCATGATGATGATCATGATTAGTTGGTCAAAGTGATGATGTTAATCTTTATCTTCTTACTCAACTCTCTCTCTCTCTCTCTCTCTCTCTCTCTCTCTCTCTCATACTCTCTTATATCCATGTAAATTTATCTTCTTCATCTTTGGTTTGACAAACAAATTAAGAAAAAAGATCAACCATCAAATTCATTAACATGATGATATTTTTTGAGAAATTGCTCTTAAACAGAGCGAGAGAGCGAGAGAGAGAGAGAGAGAGAGAGAGAGAGAGAGAGAGAGAGAAACCATCTCAAGAACTTTTTTCAGCTCGAAATTCAATATTACGTTTTTGGTGAGATTTTATCACAAATTTGATTAAGAAAATGATGCTTCATTGATTACCGTTAGATTTGATTATCTAATTGTTATAAAGTCTTTTTTTTCATCAAATTATTCTGACTTCCAAATATACTCAGTTTGATGTAAATTATCCTACTCATGATATCAGAATATTGTCTTCATGACTATTCAATGTTCTGAGTTGAGTTTCCTATTATCATTTCAAAAAAAACTGTTGACATTGTTCAAAGAAATTGAAAGTTGATTAACTTTTACATTGTGATTCAAATTTGATTCAGAATTCATGATGAAACTTTTTTTTATACTTCTTTTCATTTATTTTTTCCCCTCTGGTCATAAGTTACATGATTGTAAATCATGATAATTCAGTATAAATCAGCTGTTTGAATATTTATTAACATTTAATTCATCTGACAAGTTGATTGTCAGTCTAAATATAACAAGATTAACATGATGACAGCATCGAAAGTGAATTAAGATTCATCATGTAAACTTGTTGGATTTACAAGTTGAAAGTTCAATGTTTTTGAAACTGAAAATAAATACAAAAAGGAACAGAAAAAAAGTAAACAAATAATGATGATCAACATGATAAGATGGATGCAGATGATGATGAAAGATGCTATTATAAGAGCTTCAGGTTATTTTACATCAGAATTGATGGAGACTCCAAGTTGAATGTCCAAATTGAAATACGAATTGATATTTATATTCAACTGTCAATCAATCAGAAAAAAATTAAGGAAAAAAAGTCCATCAAGAATACAAATGATTGTAAAAATTTGATCTCAATGTTTTCATTAATTCAATTGTAGATTCAAATTGTATCATCATCATGATGACAATCAAAAGTTGACAAACTGTTTCAACAATTGAATTTGTAAATTGCAATTGTTGCAATATATTCATTGATGAAATGATTGAGAAAAATTTTCCTTCTTCACTTTCATTTTATCGATTGATTTTTAGTAAAGTTAACTAATCAACTTGATACAATCAACTATCCAATTGTATGGTGAAAAAAATCAATTAATCATAATCATTGAATGGTTATCCATTGGAGTGAATGATTTTTGGTGGATAATTTTTTTTCTGCTATTTCTTTTCATTTGTTTCCATTGACTTTGTCGATGTAATTTAACAAGGGCAACAATATAAGGTTCACTTGGATAAGTGATGATGATGAATTAAATGATGCTTTTCAAAGGTTTCTATCATCAGCATCATAGTGAAAATAATGAGAGAATTGCGTTATTATGTTCATTTTATTATTTCGTAAGTTCTGGATATTGTTCATAAACAGACAGAACCAAAATATCCTCCTGAAGAAAAGGATGAAAATATTGAAGATGCTTTTTCTATTGTTACAAAGTAATCATAACAAAGATTATCAAATGTTTACATTTTCGTCATCATCTTCTCATTAGTATATCGGGTGACCGAAAATGAGTGAGCATCTCAAGAATGGTAGATCCTAGAATAAAATTTCAAACGCCATTGAAAGCGCCATCGATCAAATATAAATCGTGAATTTTTTCAGAATTTTCGAAGTTCAAGTGCAACTGTGGTTCTTATTTAAAGGCCAAAATCGCGATTTTCTCTATGAGAAATTTATAATGGGAAAGTTAGATAGCAATTTTCGTTGATTTCGGCCATGTTGGATCTCAATAACCTTACTTCAGATAATGATAAGCTTAGGTATATAAGATAATAGGTCAAAAAGAATAACTTTTGACCAAAAATTTTGAGTCCAAAGTTAACCGTTCGCTTTGTCAGGCCACTCGATTTCTCGAGAACCGTGCGTCCTAGAAAAAAAAGCCGAATATTTTTGGACTCAGCGTCAAATTTACTTTCTTAAAATGTATAGAAACGTGGGTCCAAAACTTAAGGTTCGTGAGATGCTCACTCATTTTCGGTCACCCGATATTTGTTGACCTTTTTCTAATAGTTTTCTGTGATTATCTCATTTTGAATGAGGTAAATTCAATCCATCAATGAGTGTGGCGAACTCACAACGGAATTTTAGCTCATCCTTTTTTCATATTCTGATTATAAAGCTCATCATCCATGGTCAGTCATTCTTATCATCACCATGTATACGAAGTCCTTACGAACACACCTTACTTGACTTTCCATTGTGTTGTTAGATTTTTTTTAATCTTTTCCATGTTGACATTTTTTGTTTGTTCGAACCTGAATTCATGGTGTTTATCCTAAATTGAATCTGAATACTCTTTGAAAAGTTGACATTGTATGAAAATTTTGTTTGTTGAACATGATATTACAATAAAGGTGATAATGAAACTCAATGGATTGGTAAGAAAATGTTATGTATGAAAAAAAACTGAACCTGATCAAGTTCAAGAAAAAGTTCTGGTTGGTGATAAGAGTCAATAATGATGATGATGATGATGGAGTACATGTTACAAGGATGAGAGAAAGAGATGAAAAAATTGATGAAGTCAAAAGTTGATGATCCTTTTGGAAACCGAACATGATAATGATGAGGATGAGGAAAATTATAATGGTAAAAGGGGATCACGAGTTGGCGAAGGATGTTGTTGGAAGAACGAAAAAAAATCGAAAAAACTTTTTCCAAACTTTTTACTTTTCTCCCCTTTGATTATAATGATCGAAAAAGGTGGAGAGAGAGAAAAAGTTCTAAAGAACAAAAAAAAAGTTCTAATCCAATCTAACACATTCTAAGCATCATAAATACAATGTTTCAAATTCTGAACCAAATTGAAACCTCACATGGGGGCGGAGTGGAAAATGAAAGTTCGAGCTTTGTTTTTTACTCTCTCATTATATTCCACCCTGAGTTTTTTATTCTGTAACAAAAAAAGTCTTTTCAAACACTCAACTTTTCCGCCTTACTTTTTCAAGTCATGATAAGATTGATGAACTTCATTATTGCAGAGTAGATATGAAAAAAAAGTTCTCGTAATCTAATATTGAATATATTCAGGGATTGGGGTGGAATTAGTTATGAGAAAAAGGCTATGATATTAAAAGGAGGGAGAAATTGATCTCAACCTTTTTTTTCATGAGAATTTATCGGATGATAATCTGTTCAAGAATGTTGATTGATATTCCATAATAATAATAATAATTGGGTAATAATAATGAATAGAATTCATTTGATCAGAACTTTCTGATTCATTTGGAGCTCGCGTGATTATATTTACCTTTTTGCTCTGATTATATAATATTGGAACTTTTTTTTTCTTCCTCATCCTATTACAGTTCCTCCTGCAGTGACCATTGATCCTGGTGGACAGATTCCTGTCAATGAGACTGGAACCATTAAATTGAGCTGTTCTTTTGATGCTAATCCTCCCAATGTATCGGATATAATTTGGTACAAGGATGGAAATATTTTGAATAAAAATCATGGTAAAAGTTTAATTTTGATCGAAGATACTTCGTTAATTATACGAAATGCAACTCGAAATCATACTGGTTTCTATTCATGTTCATTGAAAAACTCATTCGGTGTTGGAAATTCAACTAATACCGCTTATATTGATGTTTGGTGTAAGTTTTTTTTTCTCTCTCACTCTTTCATCATTCAAATTGGTGGAATAAAAAAAAGAGACTATTCATTTGTAACCTTTGTGACATTTTCTGTAAATAGATCCACCTAAAGTGACCATTGACCTTCATCCGTCCGTAGTAATTGAAACAGGGAAATCGCTCCTGCTCCGGTGTCTTGTGTTGGAGGGCAATCCTCCCACCCTTACCCACGTCCAATGGTATTTCAATGGCAATCATTTTGATACAACACATTATCCACCCTCACCTTCAGGTGATCCATTTTCAAGTGCATCTTCCTACACCCTTCATAATATCACCTCAGCCCATTCGGGCAACTATTCATGCCTAGGGTTAAATGGAGCCCGTTATTCAAGTCCAATCTCAATAGTCAAGCCACTTATTGTACAATGTAAGTCCAATATTCAAAAATTTATCTCCAATTGAATAGAAATGTCCATTCAATTATCTTTATAATAGCTTCAAGTATTATGATTAAATCAATCATCATCTTCATGATACTATTAATTTGTTACATGTATTATAACAGAGATACAATAATAAGCTCAGGGAAAAAATATGAATCAACCAGAAAAACGGAAAATCAATGTAACCCTAATGATCATGTTAATGTTGCTTTACTTTTCCGGTTTCATGATATTTCAACGATAATGATTGTTTATTCAATAGGAATCGTAGATATAATATTATTGGTGTATCATTATTATTCAATCTGAATTTAGAAGTTGAACTTTTTTTTCTGTTTTCTTCTTTGCTTAACATTTGATCATTTTAAGATCGTTTGTTTCAATAAATGTGCATGGTAAAAGTTCATTGGGATGGAATTCATTTTATTCAGTTTTTATCATGTAACATGTTTAACTTTACTATTTTCATGGTATTTGTTTTTTTAAACTCTTTTCATGTTCAATATGATATTTTTTTTAAACATTGTTCCAAATTCATATTTGTTTATCTGATGATAATGATTGTATTTAGCATGTTATCATGATTAATGAACTGAATACATGATAACTTTACTTTGTTTACATGATAATTTATATGAAATTTTTTTCTCTTTGGTTTTTCTTTAACAGATAAGCCAAGTCAAGCTAATCTTAGTGTTCACTTTGATGGCGAATCGCCATCCAGAGGGACACCGGTCACATTGGTGTGCTCATTGTTGGGTGATTCTGGTAATCCATTGGCTCACTCATTCGTTTGGCTACACCAAGGGACACTTATGCAAGGTGTAACTGGATCAAGTTTCGAGATTGATTCATTATCAGTATCTAATCAGGGTAATTATTCATGTGCTGCTGTTAACAAGCTTGGTGAAGGACCTTTTTCACATCGAATAGTTAAAGTAAAAGGTAAATAATTTTTTCTTCTAACCAACACTCTGGGTCATCTTAGAGTCATTCATTGAATTTTGAGCCATGAAGTAGGAATGTTCATGGTATAATCACGGTACTTTCACCATATTATCTTTGATTATCACTTGAGAGTGTGAATAATAAGAAAGCTGTTAGGATAATGATGATAAGGATGAAAGTTTAATACGAGAATAAGAATAAATCTTCATGTTTTCGCTCACATTTATTTCTGGCAACCGGAAAGAAAGATGTGAGAATTTAGAGATAGAAAAAGTTCTGTGAAAAAAACATGAGTCCAGTAATACGATGAACAAGTAACATGAAATCTATCTGGATTTGACAAGGAACATTGTAGAGAGAGAGAGAGGAAGATCTTTTTTCACCCACATCTTCTTCCTTTTCTGCATCTTCATCTGATGTTTCCAGTTCGCTCATAAATCATGACCAATCTTTCCTTTCCTTGGGATTCTTAAGAAGAAATAATAGAAAAGAATGAGAGATGAATATGAAAGAGTGGAAAGATGATCAAAGGAGGAGTAAGAGAGAGAGAGAATTCTGGTTTTAAAGATAGAAGATGATGGAGGAGTTTGAAGATTGAGATGGAGAGGAAGATGCGTGTCTTGCAGGTTCGAAAGATGATGATGGAGAAGGAAAGAAGACAGTTTATCGAGAGCAACTGAATCTTCACAATAGAAAATACCATTTATCTTCAAGGAAGTAGACAGTCAGAGGGATGGGAAACTGAAAGAAATTCAGTTGAATTCTGAATAATAGTCTACAAGAAACTTTGTAATCTATTGAACTTAATATCATGTTGTTGTTTTCTTTTTTCTTATTGGTCAATGTTTATTTTGCTTTGCTGTTATTGTTTTCATCTTCTTTCATGATTCAATTGTTCAATGAATTTTCAGTTAAAAAAAGAGTGAAAGAGAAAGAGAGGAATGAAACAAGTGAATTCTAAATATCATGACACTTATAAGAGCAGAAACAGATCATGTAGAGAGAGAGAGAGAGAGAGAGAGAGAGAGAGAGATTTCCAAACTTGGAACTTTTCGTTTTCAGCTCAGCTATCATGGTGATGGACATTGGTCAGATAAGAAAGAGAAACCTAACAGATGGACAACAGTAATAAATAGATTAACCCTCATGGTGTTTTTTCATAAGCTTCATTGGAGGTGATATATTTTTCACCTTCATTATAAGCATGGTGATTCCATGAGATAGTGAAACTGAACATTTATCATGTTTGAAGGTGGAAATTGTTTTCTTAAAAAAGGAGATAAAAGAACTTTTTTCTTGCTTATCTTTTAGATGGAAAACTAATAGCGGATTAATAAAAAGACAGAGATTGATTTCCAATGATATTTAGATTTTTTTCCTCAGCATTTATCATGTTTTTCTGATTCAGTTTTGAGTAATATTTCATATAAAATTTTATCTCATCATGGGAGTGAAATTTTCTGTTTATATTGAAGGTTAACCTTTCGTTGTACATGGTAAACTATTATCCCTAATAAAGTTACCTGAGTATGATCAGAGTTCTGGAATTTATGATTGATTACAAAGTAATCAGCAATTAAATTTGATTCATTGGTCTACTATTATTATTGTTACATCTTAATTGTTAACAATTTATGGATACATTAAGTTATCAATAACTTTCATTGATTCTGAGCAATTCTTAACTCGGAATATTATTTTTTTATTGTTATTACTCCCTGGGCTCATGTAGAGACTTTAAATTAACTTGAATAACGTTTATAACAATCTAACTGATTTTTTTCTCGTTCAATTCTTGAATAAAGTTTTTAAACGATGAAAGTTAATCGTCAACTTGAATTATGTTATTCATGTTTCCAACTTGAACTTTTCAATTCCATCTAAAGGTTATCATATGTTCAAAAGTTTTTCCAATGAAACAAGATGGTAAGTTATTCAGATAACCTTAGGGTATCATGAGAGAAATGATGAACTTTTCATTGGAAATATTGATTTGGCAGAAAAGGTTATTGTTTTAGACTGAATTTGTTACTTGGAGAATCAAAAATTTCAATAGAAAATTTTTCATAATAATTCAAGTCTTTATATTGAAATGGAATCAACTTGTTCTAACTTGTTTTTATCGATAACCAGTCAAGAATTGAGATAATAATGATTTCCATTTGGACCATGATTACAGGGAGAAAATGAATCAATATGTTGGGTGGATGGAAATGAAAAAAAAAGAAAAATTTGATTCTTTCATCATGATAATCACTCATGATTTAGAAAATGATTATGATCCTTAAGTAATCAGATTAACTAATGATTAATTTCTGTTACATTTTCTTTTTTGCTCTCATTAGGTGCACCACGATTGATTAAAGGTCTTCCATCAACAATAGGAATATTAAGAAATCAATCAGTTACATTATCATGTCAAATTGAATGTGAACCATTATGTCCAATCGAATGGTTCATCAACAATGAAAGTCTAGGGATCGCCTCACCTTCATCATCATCATCATCAACGTCCATCTCAACCACCTCTTCCTCTTCATCCTTATCCTCATCTTCATCATCATTATCTATTGATGCCTTTGATGGTTCAATAGCCAATGGTTATGATGATAATACTCAACCTTCATCCTCATCTTTTTACCGTATTAGTTTATCATCTGTTAAAGAGGATGCATCATCTAATCAATTAGCATCCTCATTGAGTTATCTTTATATTAAAAATAATTCATGGCTTCAGGATAACGATATAATCTCTTGTAGAAGTCAAAAAAATGGATTAGGATTACCGGCTTCAAGTAACACAATTTACCGTAATGAATGTAAGTGTCTCTCCCTCCCTCTCCCACCTACCCTGTAAGGTGACACATTAACACTCACTCAGTGGGAAGACAATAGATTGTCAAAGTTACCTTCACATACACACAAGATTAATGATTCAAATCTGAGGACAGAAAAAAAGTTTTCACTCTTTGCCTTTAACAGGATTAAAAGATGAATATAAATTGACTGAAAGTTAATCATTAAACTGTAAGTGTGAATCTCAGCAATTTAACTTAATTTACTTTTTGTTAATTATCAATGAGTTTTCATTAAGAACAAGTAAAAAAAAGTTCCTACTCACCAAACTTCATGGTGGAGCAAAAAAAAAACTTTCATCTCAACACTTGAATGTTGTAAATGATTATTTACAATCAACTGTTAGTTTTTTTTCCTCTTCTCATTTCGTTAATTGTTTTTGTTTTACTTGCTTAATTATCACTACAATTTAAGTTAATTGACACAATCAGTCAATTAAATGAATCATTTTTTTTCTCGCTTCAAATTGATTCCCTTTGAACTAATTGCAATTACAGTTCATGAGAGAAACAGAGAATCAAACTCTTTACCTACACACTACTTAAATTGTAAACAATTAGATTGAGAGATTCATCTAATTACATTGATCAACGATTATTCAATTAGTACAATATGATTGAATTATATTAATAGTAACAATTAAAAGTTGGCTATCAAAAGTTTTAAGTAAATGAAAACATCTCGATTGGTCATTTGGTCATTTGTGTGTGTCCACTTGCCTAATTACTATTTAATTTTTTTTCTTCTTCTTTAATAACAATCAAGTATTAATTGTTTTCTCTTTGTTTATTTGCTTGTTGGGGCTAATTAGATGCTCCGGAAAAGGTAAAAATATCAATAAGTCAATTAGAGTTGCTTGAAGGTGATCAACTTGCAGATAATTTGGTTGTATGTAGTTCATCCTCCAATCCAAATGGACATTATCATTGGATTAAGGGATCCACTGGTCAATTAATCTCAAGAGGACCAAACCTTTATTTCAATGAGACACCAAAAATGAGCAAGGATTTACGAGATAATTACACTTGTATTGTTACAAATAAACATGGATCAGGTCGAGCTCATTTTATCCTCAATGTTTTATGTGAGTAAAGTTTAATTTCAATCAATATGATTGCTAATAAATATCATCTAATTGTTTGATATTAGATTTTGAATGTTATATCATAATGATGATGATTAACTTAAATGTTGTCAATATAATATTGTGAACACTTACGAAGCAATTTAATCACAATCATAAACATTTATCTTGGTTATTGTTTTGCTTTATGGATTGAGTTACAGTTATTTATATATTTGAAATTGATTCCTGAGTATTATTGTTAGTATTAATATTATCATGGCGATGATTTGATTTTCTGCTAAGCAAGGAGACGGAAGTTATGTTTACTTCAAATAATGATATGACAGTTTACTTAATCATCTGGGCATCATGTAATCATCATTCATATTTCCACCATGATGATATGTAAAATTAATGTCTTGTTTATTACTGCCTATTGTCTGTAGATACTTGGTATTGATGATTCAATTGAATATCTCGACTTTTTTCAGGGAATTTGAGATTTTCTCTCCTTTATTCTTGACCTTCATTTCTTTATCTTCATGATGATTTTTGTTGTTGTTGGTCTCTGAGTTGAAATTATTGTAAGATTTTTAAAATTTTCTTGCTTTGTTTTTCATTCATCTCATGAAGTTTGGTCCATTCAATTGTAACCTGATCATCATTTCCAATAAAAACGAAATGGAAACACTTAAAATCATAGAAGAGACGAGAGAGAGAAAGGGAAAATGATGATCATGGTAAGGAAGATGAGAAAGTTCAGTGGGAATCAATGATTTTGATTTCAACAATTTTCTTGTTGTAAACTGATATTATCTCAATTGTTTTGCTGATTCTGATCATGATGATAATCATCTTGCTTTTTTATTGCTCTTTGTTTATTATCATGATTGTGAACTGTTATTGTTGTTTTTTTTCTTGTTATTTGTTGTTGTTTTCTTTCCTCATATAAGAAACTCAATGGTGAAGATATTGATGATGAGGAATTGAGAGTGTTAATCAGCTGACCATAGAAGGACAATCGTTGACTATTCAGTGTTATGGAAGGATATAAATATATTTTAAACAATAAGAGAAACATAAAATTGGACATTGAATCAAGTTTGAAAAATCAGAAATCACAATCGTGACTTGAATTTATGATTAATCGTAAACCAACAGATAACTGACCTCGGTTACTGACTTGTGAAATTGTGGTCATCATAAAATTTAACATCTCTTTTTAGTCACTAAGAACAACCCTACTCACAAATGGCAGTTGACCATTTTAAAGTTTTGAAAATTGTGTTGTCAAACTAATTTTAAGAACTAGCTCATCAGTTCTAATTCCGATTTTGTACATGGACCTAAAGAGGAGTTTTAAAGCTAATCGCTTATTTTTCATTAATAAGCACAAGTGCAAATATAAGCTTAATATGCTTTTTCATAAGTTTATCAAATTAAAACGTTTTTTGCCATTCAAAATAATTTTTGGTCATTTTTATTCTACACTGAGTCAATATTTTCGTTACAACAATTATATTTAATTTGGTACTAATATTGACCAAATTGGATCAAATTTTTATAATTTATTCTTAACTACGATAGCAATCATCTGGAAAAATTTGTAAAATTTAGAAGCTAAGTTGGTTAAATTAGTGCCGATTGATTAAAAACCCAAATAAACGGTTCAAAATTTTCGTTGGTCCTGTTTTCATTGATAGAGATATTTTTTAGATTTTATTGTTGACAAATTATATTGTCTAGATCACAACGATCAATTTGAGAGATTTTTTATTGAAATCGGATGAGAAATAAAAAAGTTATATCAGATCGAATTTAACATGGGGGTCTATGGAAAATGACGAGTTTTGGCCTGTTAATCTTAGACTATTAGGGTCAGTGCCATGAAAACTTGACAACTCGTAGTTCAACTAATTGTTTATAAGAAATTGAGACTAGAATGATGATTGTGCGTCTATTTTTGTTTTTTCAGGTCTAAAACAGACAATAATCAAAAAATTGTTCATATAATAGGGAATTTACATTGGAAATTAAATATTAGTTGAGCTTCCTATTGAAAATGAATAAAACGAAAAGTAATAGACGCACAATCATCATTCTAGTCTCAATTTCTTATAAACAATTAGTTGAACTACGAGTTGTCAAGTTTTCATGGCACTGAATAGTCTAAGATTAACAGGCCAAACTCGTCATTTCCAGACCCCATGTTAAATTCGATCTGATATAACTTTTATTTCTCATCCGATTTCAATAATCTCTCAAATTGATCGTTGTGATCTAGACAATATATTTGTCAACAATAAAATCTAAAAATCTCTATCAATGAAAACTAGGACCAACGAAAATTTTGAACTGTTTATTTGGGTTTTTAATCAATCGGACTAATTTAACCAACTTGCTATTCTAAATTTACAAATTTTTCCCAGATGATTGCTATCGTAGTTAAATAAATTATAAAATTGATCAATTTGGTCAAGTATTAGTACCACAATTAAATATAATTGTTGTAACGAAAAATATTGACTGGTATTATACATTTTGTGCACAAGTTTTTATCATTTCATCTTTGTTATTGCACTTTAAACATCATATTCACGTTCATTTGCATCACTATTTTCAACGTTTTTACCTATTTCTGCGAACTTTTTGTTTAAATTTTTACTATTCAATTCAAGAACCTACATAATATTCAAAACAATATATGAAAATGTTTATGTAAACTTTCACCGCTCTCCAACTTTTCAATATAAAAAGTTTACATTAGCTCACAAAAGATAAGTTTTTTATCAATTATTTCGGACGTTTTTCACAACTTTCTGTGTCTTTTGCGTGTGGTTTTCACAAACTGAGCTCACAATTTCACCCTGATTTCAATGTTGCAGCCCATAATGGGGAATATGAAGAAATAATGAAATTTTTGTCTAAAATTAAAGCAACAGTTTCACGTTTGGATTGGATATACCATTGGAACAATTTCCAGTTTACATCGATTATCATGGACTACAAAAACCAATCAAATTTAATCAGCAGGAACATTCTTGGCTGCTTCACAATTTTTTTTAGTATCCGAAACAAAAGATATAATACAGGGCAATTCAGCTATTTTTATCGATGTTTTTGCGACTTTCTCAGCAATTAAAAGTTGTTGAGCGTGCAGATTTCAAACAGTGAAATGAGCGCACGGTGATGTTCTAGAATATAGCCGATTATACATAGGATGCACGGCGCTGCTATTTGTGATAAAGTCTTCGGTCAAATATGAACTTGCTATGACCTTTGGATGCCAAGAAGTAGTATATAAACCTCCGCTTCTGGCTCACCCAGAAGCGGAAATGGGGGAAAAAACTTTCATGAAAATTTTTTGATTAAAAAATCGATTTTTTTATGTAAAAATCAAAAAACCCGCTATAATGTGCTGTTGCTTAGCAACGTTATTTAACTTTTTTTTCCTTACCACATAAAATTTGTTTAAGTTTTTCATTTCAAATCTAATTTGTATATATTTGGTATAAAATTAAGTGAATTAACCATATATGTAGTTATTTTTTTCAATTTAATTAATTGCTTGAATTTTATTAATTGAATTGTAAAATGTTGATTGACAAATTACCATTCCTTTTTTTATTTGCGATCGATAAGTCTTTTATCTCTCTCTCTCTCTCTTTCTCTCTCTCTTTATATGGGTTTCTTCTGCCTTTCTTTCTTTCTTTCTTTTTCTCTCTGTGTGTGTTTCTCTCTCTTCGTGTTTCTCTCTTTGTGTTTCTTTCATTCTCTCTCAGGAATGGTTTTTCAAAACTCTCAACGTCCCTCATCCCAAAGAATGAGATCAGGATGGAATTTTTTGACCATAGTCCCACGACATGGACACGAGATTAGCTAATTTCATTTTGAACAAAGGAGATGATGAAATAATACCTAAAGATTATAAGAATGGTTAGAGCGAGGAAAAGCAGCAACGCGTAGACTAGATCACTCATGATTTATAATTGAGCGATTAAATAATTTGTGACAAGTATTTATAGTTTTTAATCATTTTTATTCTTATATTAGATCATATGTGATCAAGAAAGATTCATATTTATCTGAGAACTCTTTGCTCTTTAATAGCTTCATCAGTTTCATATCCGCTTTAACGTGACCAAATACCAATTTATTCGGGAGATTGTAAAGATCAATTTGGTCAACAAGAGCTTTTAAACGTTTAAATGTATCAAAAGAGATTTCAATAGTCCAATTTGGTCCAATAATTTCATCATATCCATCTCCTTTGCTATGCGCCCATTCACTTATCTTCACTGTGAAATTTGAAAATTTGAAAAATTTGAAATTTCATTTTTTACAATATCAATTATTAGATTGGCTTTGTTGCCACTCGCACAGTAATCAAATACAACTTGATCTGTCCACATTTTGATACTAATGGTATACTAACAAAGACTAGTGCTTTTTATAGCTATTGTTATTGCATCATTTTGCATTGGATCATTTTTGCAAGGTTATTGCTGACGTCATTCTAGACAGTTCAGTGACTCTGACATCGAATGATGGTTTCAAGGTCACTATTGACGTCATTTCAGACAGTTCATTGAACTTTTTGGAACGTTCTAGAACATTCTATGAACCGCACCCCCATTTCCGCTTTTGAGCCAGAAGCTACGGTTTTCATACTACTCCAAGATCTTCAATAAAATAGCCATATTGGTTAAAAACTGTATATGTTTGAACATACATAAAAGTAATGCAACAATCAGCTTTACTTTTCACTCAACTTTCATTGGTATAAACAGAAAAATATTTACAAAATCGTTAAATCAGGACTTGGATTATAAAGATCAGAGTCCAATATCTTTTCTTCTTCTTCTAGATGAGTCATAAGCGAAGTTTTATCTCTCGCTCTCAACCATCATAAGTATTTACTCCTTATAAATGGGAAGAATCGACATTTTGTATAAACATTTGACTCTAAATATTTGAATTGTTTTTCATTGAGATTTCTCAAATAATCACAGTTAATC